GACTGAGTAAGAACGATGAAGAAAGAGGACACTGTGAAAACTGACCAGCGCCAAAGGGTCTGAATTTGTCATCGATAAGGAAGCTGCCATGGTCTCTCAGACCATTCGTAACATGCTCACCTCTCCAGGTCTCTCCTGCTTCTTCTTCTCTCTTTCTTTTTGTATCAATTCTTTTTGTTATTTGTATTGTTTGGATTTGTGGTTGAAAATATTCTTGATTTGATTGTTTTTTTAGGAAATTAGGCTACGTTATTGAATTTCTGTTATCTCAATTGCTGAAATTTTATTTTATTATTATTATTTTTTTTGGTGGTTTGGTGGATGTGAGACTAATGGGTTTTATGCATAAACTCATAAAGATAAACTCATGAAGGTAATTTTGAGAAAACGGATAGCATGGCGGTGTAACTTTCCTGGAAATAAGCATTGTCATTCTTCAGAAGATCTGCCAGTATTTCCACTGGTCTCTCTAGTATGCATGATTTATATATCTATATCAATTCTCTAATTGCTTTCCCTATTTACAAATTGTGGTTCTATGTGTCTCTCTTGATGTGTTTACTGTTTTGTCAAGTGTAATGTTAAGAAAAGGGAAAAAAAAAAAAGCAGAATAATAAGAAAATTTTAAGATATGATCTCACCTTCCTTAAAAATTTGAAATCTCTTAAGAGATGATAAAATTTAAAAATTCTCTTAAAATTAAAAGAATTTATACTATCTAATTGGACATCAACTAAGGAATATATTTTTATAGAAAGACAACTATCAAACGAATGAGTCTTTAGAGAAAAATACTATTTTAGACAGGTACTTTTTATTGTCAAAAATTATGTCTAAAATTTAGACATATCTTTCTAATTTGGAAAAAATTAGTTAAAAAATTCAAATTAGTTAAAGAATAAATTTCTTGTCAAAACTCCAAAATGCCTCTAGTGACCATCTAAATGATAATATATAAAAGAGCAAAGCCTAAACTTAAAGCAAGTTGGTCTTAAATTAAAATTTTCCATAGTTATTTATGAATAGAAAGTAAACATATGTAAATTTCTCTATGTTCTTATTCTTCTCAGACGTGGGATTTTTACTTTTCAAACTATTTAATATATAAAACAACAAATTCTGTCAGTGCTACCAAAGTCCACTATTTCATTTTCATATCCTCTTAGCGAGTTGAAAGGCAAAAGATTCAAGATAAGAAAGAATGGAAAGATCTATGATGGTTAATATAGATGAGTAAGAGTCAGTACTTCCAACTCTATTTATGTTGAATATTTGAGTGACAAAATACTTGAGGAGTACAGATAAAAAAAATGTATACCTTGTCTATTGAGGAATGCATCATCCGTGGATGAAAGTCTAACTGATAGTATTAGACATCAGACATTAGAACCCTAAAACCATAATTTGGACTTTATCTATGTCCTTGCTCTCACTGTGTTTTGATACTACCAGCCTATATCATTGGCATTAATGGCATTTAGCATGGAGTAATTGTCTCTGAACTAATACATGGTTGTTAGAACACACATTTAATTTCCTTTTACATGCACCTCCCTCTATGATGGTGACTTTTTCTCTGACAGCTTTAATTAGCTCGTTATGCCACTCACCGAACCAATCAACATTTAAAACGTTTTATACTGATGGAAACTTGCTCCCTCTGGTCAGCTGTAAAGAGACTGAGTTCCTTATTGGCTTATTGGACCTGAACTGACTCTGGATCTTATAATGGCCGTAAATGGTAAAAATCTACTTTTAGTCTCTCACTTTATTAAATTTGAAGATTTTAGTTTCATACTTTATATTATGACATTTTTAACTCTTCACATTACTAGATTTGTAGGTTTTAGTCTATCACTTTATACTATGGACGCTTTTAGGCCTTCACCCATTAAAATTGAAGAAAATAGCCCTCACTTTGTAATGTTTTGTTAGTTCCGTTAGTTGACTGTTAATTTTATCTGTTAATTTTATTAGTTAACTGTTAGTTGATTGTTAGTTGACAAAAACTTTCTTTTAACCAATAGAGTTAATAGAACTAACTTTATAATATTTCGTTCATTTTGTTAACTGACTATTAGTTGATTGTTAGTTGATAAAAACTTACTTTCAACTAACATGACAAAAACTTACTTTCAACTAACAGAGTTAACGGTCAGTATAAAGTGAGGGTTATTTTCTTTAATTTTAATAGATAATGAGCTAAAATTTACAAATCTAGTAAGATAAGAGGTTTAAAATATTATAATATGAGGTAAAGAGCTAAAACTTTCAAATTTGATAAGGTGAGGGGCTAAAAGTAGGTTTTTGCCAGCTGTATATTGCCTACATACTTGAAACCAATGTTTTTGGACCCAGTCCAACCCAATCGGTTGAACTGGTTCAACCAGACCCGGACCTAAAAACGGGCCGATTCAAGACTTCAACTCGTTTAAGTAAATGGCCCATTGAAACCCGTTGAAACCCATCACACCCGTCACGCTTGCTGAACTCGTGCGACCCACTACAACCGACTGAGCTGAAATTTTCATCATCTTCTTGTCCGTCGATCATCTGCTGATCTTCTCTTCTGCCGATCATCCGTCGATCTTCTTGTCCATCGATTCTCCACCGATCTTCCCTTCCATTGATCGTCCGCCAATCTTCCCTTCCGTTGATCGTCTATTGATCTTCTCTTTCGTCGATCGTTCGTCGATTTTCTGTTCCATCGATCGTCTGCCAATCTTCTCCTCTATCGTTGCACTTCTTCTCTTTTGCCGGTCATCTTCATCTACCTCATCGATTTTGCTCAAAACAGAACAGATTGTCTTCGGGTGAAACTAACATATAAAAGTAAAATTCAATGAAAATGCCAAAAAAAAAATTTTTTTAGTTGACTTTAGTTGACCAGTTGAACTGGTTGGGTGAATCGGTTCAACTTGTTGACCCGGACCTAATGGTCAAAACGGGCCAGCCACCGGGCCAGGCCGGGCCCAAAAACATTGCTTGAAACAGTTGCTTCCTATTTTTATGGGTGATGTGTCCTGTTCAGAAATTGTAAACCCTTTTCCTTGGGTTTTCTTCAGACACTGTATTTTTAATGTTTCCCCTTTTCCTTGTATTTTTTTATTTACCTTTTTCTTGTTAATGTTTGTAAGCTGGATATTTAAATAATTACAAAGTAAAATATTTTAAAATTAAGTTATTTTAATAAATTTTATTAAAAATATTAAAATAATTTACTTTTCAATTAAGAATAAAGTTGTTTTGGAATTTTTCAGTGGTGCTTTAAAAAAAAAAACTGGTTTGAAAAGTTTTTTTCTTCTTATGTCTTTAAGATCCGACTAACAAAATATTATATTTATGTGATAGAATTTTTTTTTTCAATCCCTAAAATCTTCATAAATGGCATGTGCTTGTATTTGTTGCAGGAGTGTTTAGCATTTTGTAACGGATTTGATTTTTCAACAATAAAAATTTACAATGAATCTTACAGTATAAATCAGGTCGGGAGTGAATATGTGAAGATTTACTTCCATTTACAGGATATTACACATGATGGTGCATTGGTGCTTCAGCGGAAAAGAATCTCCATTTTTCCTTCTATTCAATTAAGAATCTCCATTTATAGGAAATAGTTAGGTCTGTAAAATCTGCTGTTAACCGGTTATCTCTTACCTGTTAAATAACAAAAGCGGTCCCTAAACTTTTAATTTTAGTTCTTAATAATTTTAAAACTTTCAAGAATCTCAAATGCTGTAATTTTTTTTTTTTTTTGGGAAATTTTTTGAAACCCACAACCAAAAATTAATATGGCATGTATGTGGGTGTAAATTTTTTTTTTTTTGTTATTTTTCTTCATAAATAGATTTGAATGCAAATACCTGGACTTACTCAAAACATTTATTAATGGCTAATTAGCTTCTTAATGAAGTCATTTCAAAGATAATTATAAAATTAGTTAAGATAATTAAATTTCTAATTGTGAGTCTCACAAAAAATTCCTTATCAACAAAAAGTAAAATTATTTTCAGGAGCTTTTTGAGTTTTTTAAAAAATTTTAAGGTTATTGAAAGCTAAAATTAAAAGTTTCGGGACTATTGTGTTATTTAACTAATTAGAGATAATGGTGTTAACAAAAGATTTTATGGATTTTATGGTCTTCATATCTAATTGAGACTTTAATTGAGTGTAATAAAACTTTAAGACTTTAATTGCAAATTTAGTATAAGTTTGAGACTATACCACTTTAGCCCATGGTTTTTGTCCTTTCAAAGATGCTATAGAAGGGAAGAAAATAAATTCAAAGTCCTCTATTTGCTATATAAAACATGTATTGTCCTCGTTCCCAAGCGTAGAGCAATGGCAAAGTCTCGCTTTCTACAGTTTTTTAACATTTCTTTCATTTTCTTTCTGAGCGTGAACGTATTTTGCAATACTAATGCTAATGACGAAGAAAGGAAGGCATGTATTTTCTTTGCATCTTACAACTGAGTTTCTTATTTTTAATTATATATACTGTCAAATTCTCACGGCGAGCATCATTATGATGATGCAGGTCTACATTGTGTACATGGGATCACGTGTTGAGAAGGCGACGTACCAAACAATAGCTGTCCATTTTAGTATGCTTCAGCAAGTAATTGGTGAAACGTAATACTTCTCTCTCTTGTATGGAATACAAAATTTGTTAGTCATGAGTGGACTTCATCTTTTTTATATATATCTATAGATTGGAGTGTCACAAAGAGTGTACTTTAGGAATTTCTTTCTTGAACATAACTTCAATCTAACTCTCTTTTTCTATCCAGCTCTGTAAAAGATGTCCTAATTAGAAATTACAAAAATAGCTTCAATGGATTTGCTGCCAAGCTCACTGATCAAGAGGCGAAAAGGCTGGCAGGTAAGTATTAAAATAGATTTAGGTGGAGAGGGATTGGGGGAAATGAAAACGCTATCTTTCTTGTATAGTTCATCGTCAGATGTACCAAAAAAAAGTGTAAAAGTAGATTTATTTTGTATGCTTGATATCATATGGTTAGATAATGCTTTCAAATTTCTTTGATGCGTAGGAATGAATGGAGTGGTATCTGTTTTTCCTAGTACAACTTTCTATCTACAAACAACAAGATCCTGGGATTTTATAGGATTTAATGAAACCGTCAAGCGCAACCCAACCATGGAGAGTAATGTCACCATTGGTGTGATTGATTCTGGTATCTGGCCTGAATCAGAAAGCTTTAGTGACAAAGGTTTTGGTCCTCCTCCCCAAAAGTGGAAGGGTGTTTGTAATGGTGGCCAAAATTTTACTTGCAACAAGTAAATACATCTATGATTTATATATCTCACCCATTTTTTAGCAAGTAAATTTATTATTTGTAGATAGATTATAATCAATTCTCTTGTAATTTCATTGGTTCCAGCAAGCTCATCGGAGCTAGATTTTACATTGGTGACTCAGCAAGAGATGATGTCGGTCATGGGAGTCATACTGCATCTACTGCAGCTGGAAACAGTGTTAAAGGTGCTAGTTTCTTTGGGCTGGCAGAAGGAATTGCTAAAGGGGGGGTTCCATCCGCAAGGATTGCTGCATACAAACCTTGTGATCCATCTGGGTGTCCTTCAGAAAAAGTTTTGGCAGCTTTTGACGATGCAATAGCTGATGGAGTTGACTTGATTACAGTTTCATTAGGAGGTCTATCTCCCTTAAACTTTACAGTTGACACTATAGCAATCGGTGCCTTTCATGCCATGGAGAAAGGAATTCTTACCGTACAAGCTGCTGGAAATACAGGGGACTTTGATGATTTTAGGCCAACTCCAAGTACAGCTCCTTGGGTTCTTTCTGTTGCTGCGAGTAGCATAGATCGCCAGTTCATCAACAAGGTTGTTCTTGGGAACGGGGAGACCGCAACGGTGTGTATTGTACATACGTTTTGGGAAACTCAGCTGACAGCTTATATGTCGTTAGTTTAGAATGATTCTTAATAATGGCTATGAACCTTATCTAATGCTTGCCTTTCATCTACAAACAGGGTCTCGCAGTCAATTCATTCACACTAAATGGAACAAAGTTCCCGGTCGTTCCTGGAGAAAATGTTGCAAATGATTATTGCGGTGAAGACATAGCTCGGTGAGTTCCAATGTAGTTTCACTTTAACAAATAATTGGAATGTGGCATGATAAATCAAAATTTGATCTCTTAATTTGTTGTGTGTAAGGAATTGTGGCAACGGATGTCTAGACAAAGAACTAGTACAGGGAAAAATATTGTTGTGTAACGAGTTCTGGGGAATTAAAGAAGCCGTGGAGCTTGGTGCAGTAGGAGCCATTGTGTTTAACAGTTTAAATGATACTGTTCCTCGTGCAGAGGTTGTCCCATTACCTGTCACAGCTTTAAACAGGGACAACTTTACTGTTGTGGATACCTACGTAAGGAACAACAAAACCATGTAAGTACACATTTGGAACCTCGATTCTATTTTAGCAGCATATGTCCGTATTTTATTTACTAGATGCATGACATCTTATATTACAGAAATCCTACAGCTGAAATATTAAGAAGTGAAACCATTAAAGACCCTGATGCTCCTAGAGTAGCTTACTTCTCTTCACGTGGGCCAAATGCTTTGATACCGGATGTTCTGAAGGTAGGTAGGAAGGCATTTTTCCTAACCTAACATTTTGTACTGTTCCCAAATCTTCTCCCTTTTTTTCTTTTTTGATACATCTTTCCAAGTTTTATGCAGCCGGATTTAAGTGCTCCTGGGGTGGATATCTTGGCAGCATACTCACCTATAGTTTCACCCACAGAATACCCTGAAGACAAGAGGCAGGCAAAATACAATGTATTCTCTGGAACTTCCATGGCTTGTCCTCATGCTGCTGCTGCTGCTGCCTATGTTAAAACAATTCATCCTGATTGGTCTGCTTCTGCCATCAAATCTGCTTTGATGACTACCAGTAATCTTCATCAATCTTACTTTTTAAGGTTTTTTCTTCATGCTATATTTAATTATTTCTACACATCGCTTAAGGTTGCCTATGAATACAGCTTCCTTCATAGAGCCAAATTCTCAAGTTGATCCAACTAAAGGACTTACTCTTTCACCTGGAAATATTAATCCGGCAAAAGCTATTAATGCGGGACTTGTATATGAAACTTCTAAAGAAGACTACATACAAGTGCTTTGCAGCATTGGATATACTTCAAATATCATTAGAATAATTTCTGGAGATAACAGTTCTTGCCCGGAAAGCTTAAAGAATGTATCAGCAAGGGATATGAATTATCCTTCACTGGCAGCTCAGGTTCCAGTAAACAAAACTTTCGAACTTGAGTTTCATAGAACAGTTACAAATGTTGGCAGTGCAAATTCCACTTACAAGGTACAAGTCTCTCAAAATTCCAAGCATAGTCTCAATGTCACAGTGGTTCCTGAAGTTTTATCTTTCAAGTCTATAAATGAGAAGAAGTCTTTCAACGTGACTGTTACCGGAGAAGGTTTTGAGGAATTTGATTATGTGGCTACTGACTTGGTATGGTCTGATGGTAGCCATATGGTTAGAAGTCCAATTGTGATACATTCATACACCTTTAACAGCAATACATTACAGTGATTGGGCTTCTTGCAATCTTCTTTTACAGATATGTCAAATTCATCTCAGCAAGGCCTGCATTAGAGATCTCATCTTTAGTATTTGAATGCTGTTAATGTATCTTATATGCCTAATAAAAAAATGCTGCAATAAAGTTTTTGTTACTCTCTATTGAAATAACTCCACAATTTGAGCCATTAGTTATCAAGGATCTTAGTTTTGAAGTGCTTGTCTTATAACTTTTCAGCTATAGAAAGGATATTTTCTGGCATTAGGCTGCTCCCACATAAGAATTTATACACAATTCAAATATCAGAGATTACTTACCAATCTTGCCACATTGCCAATTTAGTTTCTCATGCCTGCGTGCTTCATTGATTATTTCCTCTTCTGCTGTATTATTATTCTTTCTGAAAAACGTGTTCAAAATCTAATGGAGTTGGAACCCATTATATCCTACAATCTTGATCTCTGAAGGTGGAGAGATCTACTCAGGAAAAGGAGATTACCAATCTCATACCTACATAAATTATAAGACAAGCACTACGAAGTCAAACGCATGAAAACAAAGATCCTTGACAGCTAATGGTTCTGTTGAAAATATCAGTTAACAGCAGTTATGCTTTTTTAATTTGTAACTGGTTTTTCTGTTTTCTGCAGTTAGTTCTACAAGTTAGCTGCATTAGGAGTAGTTATTTTTATCCTTTATGAAAAAACTGTAATGTATAAGTTGCTGTATATGTCAGTTATCTATCTGCAATGAAATAGAGCTCCATATCCGAGAAGCTCATAAAAAAACCAGATTAGTGTGTTCTTTAGTTTACTGCAGAAATTAACAGGTTCACAATGTGGAGTTATTTTAACAGAAGGAACTGAACTCTATTTCAGCATTTTTATGAAAAGGTCATGTAAGGTACATCAACAGTATTCAAATACTAAAGATGAGATCTCTTCTAGAAGAAAATCAGGTCTTATTGAGATGAATCTGAGATATCCGTAGAACTATATTGCAAGAAGCCTAATCATTGTTGTGTATCGCGGTTGAATGTGTATGAATGTATCACAATGGGAGTTCTAACGTTATGGCTACCATCAAATCATACAAAGTGTGTGGACACAAAATCATCACTTTCAAACAATTTTCCAGTAACACTCACTTTGAAGGACATCTTCTCCTTTATAGACTTGAAAGATAAAACTTTAGGAGCCACTTTGACTTCGAGATTGTGCTTACAATTTTGAGAAACTTTAACCTTGTAAATGGAATTTGGATAGCAAACATTTGTAACTGTTCTGTGAAACTTAAGTTTGAAATGTTTGCTTGTTGGAACTTGAGCTACTAGTGAGGGATAATTCAGATCCCTTGCCAGTACATTCTTTGAGCTTTTTGGACAAGAGCCATTATCTTCAGAGACTATTCTTACCAATTCTGATTTATATTCAATGTTGCAAAACACTTTTATGTAGCCTTCTTTGGAAGCATCATATACAAGCCCTGGATCAATAGCTTTTACAGGATTAAATATTTCCAGATCCAAAAGCAAGTTCTAGGTCTGGATTAACTACAGCATCTGGCTCCATAATGAAAGCTGCAGGGACATGAAATATTTAGAATATTAAGCAAGGTATAAAAATAAACATGGCATAAAGAAAAACTTGAAAGTTAAGATTGATGAAGATTACTGATAGTAATTAGAGCAGATTTGATGCCAGTAGCAGACCAATTAGGGTGAATTGTTTTAACAAAGAGAGCAGCAGTAGCAGTAGCAGTAGCAGCATGAGGACAAGCCATGGAAGTTCGAGACGATGTAGTGTATTTGGTCCGCCTTGTGTCTATAGGGTCTCTCGAGGGTGAGTATGCTGCCAAGATATATACCCCAGGAGCGCTTAAATCCGGCTGAATAAACCTTGAAAAGATGTATAAAATTGGAAAAAGAAAGGTAAAGATAACATGAAGAATGTCTTCATACCTTCAAAACATCTGGTAACAAAGAATTTGGCCCACGGGTAAGAAGTTTGCTACTCTAGGAGCATTAGGGTCTTTAATGGTTTCAATTTTTAATAATTTGGCTACAGGATTTCTGTAACATAGGATGACATGCATCCAGTAATAAATAAAATATGCTCATATGTTACATGAACAGAGTGGTAGTTCCAGACGTGTACTTACTGGATGTTGTACTTTACATAGGCCTCCACAAATGTAATCGCTACTTAGAGCTGTGGCAGGTAATAAGACAACCTGTGCATGAGGGACAATATCATACATAGTATTATAAAAAAAATTGCTCCTGCTGCACCATCTTCCGTGACTTCATGATCTCTAAGCTCATTGCACAACACATGATCCTATGTACACAATGTATACCTGTATCATCTTAATGGTGCTTGTCATGAGAATTAATGGGATAAAATAATTAAAAAATAATAAACTCATTGGTAAGATGCAAAGCTAATACGTGCCTTTCTTTCTTCATCATTATCACTGGCATTGGCTTTGAAAAATAGGCTTACACCAAGAGAAAAAATGAAATAAATGTTAAAGAACTGTTGGAATCCAGAATTTGCCATTGCTCAAATGCACAACAAGGAGGATTGACTTAGATGTTTTGTATGGCATAGTGATGGTTTTGAATTTCTGTCTCCAATTTTCTTCCCTTTCATAGCATCTAGAAATTTACACCCCCTTAATCATTTTAGAAAAATACGATCCTTTGTAATTATAGAGAAGGAAAATGGAGGTTTTTTTTTTCCTTTGAAGCACCATCACGAGCAATATCCCTTAAATGGAAAATGTGATCCTTTGCAGGTGCTACTAAGGCAAGAATTTATGGGACAGCTTATAGCTTATGAGGTTTAATGTCCAAAAACTGCTACAAAATATTAGGAATGAGCACGGAGATTTAACACAGATTTAACACAAGAATGAGTCCTGAAGAGGAATAAACACTTTAAACTGCTAGTGTGTATAGTGAAGAGGATCAAACACAGAGAGATAAAAGAAACACTGGAGTTGTATTCAGACAATCTTTATACATATTATACTAGCTTGATTTATATGTACAAGGAGTTCAAAAAACTCTGTAATCAAGCCTAATATTTCGTAATGTTAATGTTACATAATATTGTGTTATGTTAACGTTGCTGTCATCATTCCTTGTATTGTTCTTGATTGACTGTGATTTGTTTCCATTTTAGTTGAGCTGCCTTTTACACTTGATGACTGCAGCAGCTGTTGCTTCTCCTTCTCCTTCATAGGAATAGGTCCATTATCAAGAGCCTATTATGTAGTTGCAATAAAATATTAGGAATAAGTCTCTGATGTGTGTAGAACAATGGCAAAGTATGAGTTCATACTGTTCTTTAATTTACCTTTCATTCTCATGCTTAGCGTGAGCCTATTATGCAGTTGCAAAGAAGAAGAAAGAAAGGCAAGTATTATATTTACATCTTAATGATGAGCATTTCATTGGTCTGATGATTTTTGACAATATATTAAACTATTAAACAGCGGATCAAATGGCATGTTGTTAACATCAGATGATGATTATCATGGATTATGATCATGATAATTGTGACTGTGATGATACAGGTCCATATTGTGTACATGGGATCAATTCAAGGGAAGGAGTACTTCCTAACCTCTCATCATCTCAGTATGCTTCAAGATGTTATGGGGCATAGGTAGTATTTTTAGCAAGTGAGATTATTCTTGATTGTCCACCTTCTGATATTCTTCTTCTTCCTTTTTTCCCCTTTTTTTTTCCTGTTCCAGCTAGTCAACAAATTTCCTGACCAGATGTTACAGAAGAAGCTTCAAAGGGTTTGCTGCAAAACTCACAGATCAGGAAGCAAAAAAGATGTCCAGTAAGTGATTGGATGCAGGGATTTTCCTTTCTAATTTCTGAATAGAGCACATGGTTAAAACAATTTAACACTAGTTTTGAATCTGTTATGTAGGTATGAAAGGAGTAGTGTCTGTATTTCCAAGTAAAACTTTCCAGCTTCAAACAACAAGATCTTGGGATTTCATAGGTTTCAAAGAAAGTATCAAACGCAATCCTACTGTTGAGAGTGATATCATCATTGGTGTTATTGACCCTGAAATTTGGCCTGAATTAGAAAGTCTCAGTGATGAAAGTTTTGGTCCTGCTGCCAAAAAGTAGAAAGGTTCCTGTAAAGGTGGCCAAAATTTTACTTGTAACAAGTAAATATACCTTTCTCCCTTTATCAGATAATGCTTTCTATGTTCCACAGATACCAGTAGCACTGCTGCCAACCTATAACAAACTAAATTCTTAACATGACAGCAAGATCATTGGAGCTCAGAGTTATGTGGGAAATGACTCAGCAAGGGATGTTGATGGTCATGGAAACCATACTGCTTCTATGGCAGCAGGAAACAAAGTAAAAGATGTTGGTTTCTATGGACTGGCACAAGGAATGGTAAGAGTAGGGGTTCCCTCTGCAAGGATTGCTGCATATAAAGTCTGTGGTGACTTATGTTCATCAGATGCAATCTTGGCAGCTTTTGATAATGCTATTGCTGATGGAGTTGACATTATAACAATTTCAATTGAACACATAGAGCCACTGGATTTCAGTGAAGATGTCATAGCAATTGGTGCTTTTCATGCAACAGAGAAAGGAATACTTACTGTACATTCCACAAGAATAATGGTTTAGGAGGAGCATTTACAGTTGTAAGTATAGCCCCTTGGTTGCTTTCTGTAGCTGCAAGTAGACGGATAGGAAGTTCATCAACAAGGTCATTCTGGGGAATGGGAATATACAAATGGTTAGTATCCTAGTATCTTATGTCTTTATTGACACTCTTCTATCTGTTTCCTTATATCTTTGAATGTGAAGACTATCTTTACATGTAATCTGTGGATTCTTATGATGTCTTTATAGAAACAAATAGGAATCTCTGATTAATACTTTTTCTCTCAATGGAACCAATTTCCCCCTTATGTATGGAAAAGAAGTTTCAAATATTGACCGTGAAGAGTATGATTCTAGGTTGGTTCCACTTGACAACCATTTGATTTTCTCCTTTCAAATATCAGCAGAGCACAAATATTTAATTCTCATGTCATATATCAGGAATTGCTTTGAAGGGTGTTTGGACAAGAATGCAGTTAAGGGAAAGATCGTGCTATGTGATTCGTTTCAGGGAATATTTGTATCTAAAGATTCTGTTGCACTAGGAGCAATTTCAATAGATGATGGAAGTGGTACTGATGTGGCCCCATTGCCTGCTGCAGCATTAACTGATGTGGGCCATAATTTTGTCAAGTCCTACTTGAATTCCACCGAGTATATGTCTAGCAAAAGTCATCTATATTATCAATTTTTGTGTGTGTACATGTGCAATATGAATGACTCAATTTTAATATCTTGCACTACAGAAAACCTGAAGCAGAAATTTTAACAAGTGAAGCTATTATAGATTCTAGTGCTCCCATGTTTGCTCCCTTCTCAAGTTGCTGGCCAAATTTTAAAGTACTAGATATTCTCAAGGTACACATTTCTCAAAGCCTTACCCTTCTCTCAAAAGCCAATTACTCTTGAGTTAAGCTAAAGATACTCTGATTGTTTTTCAGCCAGATTTAACTGCACCAGGAGCAGATATCTTGGCAACGTATTCACCAGAAGGTTTAGTCACAGGTGACAGTAAAGATGATAGGCATGTCAAATATGCTGCGGCTGCCTATATTAAAACATTTCATCCTGACTGGTCTCCTTCAGCCATCAAATCTGCTCTCATGACTACTGATGAACATCTTATATTTTGTATTGTGTTTTTTATGTAAGTTTATGTTTCTACCTGACCAATTTCCCTACATGCTTGTAGCTTGGCCAATGAATCAAACATATCATCCAGATGTTGAATCTGCTTACGGATCTGGGCATATTAATCCAACAAAAGCTGTTCATTCCGGACTTGTATTGAAGTTTATGAAGAGGACTATATCAAATTGATGTGCAGCATGGGATATGATGCTGATAAACTAAAAGCAGTATCAGGAAGTAATAGCACTTGTAATACGAGTTCAGAAATTGTCCCGCCTAAGGATCTCAATTATTCTACACTAACGGCTGCTGTTCCATCAGACCAGCCTTTCACCGTGACATTTCAAAGGACAGTTACAAATGTTGGCAATGCAAATTCCACTTACATAGCCGAAGTTTCTGCACACTCTAAACTTAATGTCAGTGTGGTTCCTACAGTTCTATCTTTCAACTCTATGAGGGAGAACGAGTCTTTTCAAGTGACTGTAACAGGAGGAGCTTTGAAAATTTTCACGGTGGTGTCTACTTCAATGTCATGGTCAGATGGCAGCCATATTGTTAGAAGTCCAATTGTTATTCACACGTATCATGGATTAGGAATTTGACCAGCGAATGTTACTGGAGAAGCTGTAACAGATTCAAAAGCCGTACATTAACATTTTTTTTTTTATCAGCCAAGCCCCACATGAACTAATAGTGTCTGCATCGTTATTGTGGTTAGATGGTGGCTACAGCATTAGAAGTCCAATCATCATTCACTGATTTTTTCATGTATGCTTAAGGCCTTAAGAGGCATGTTCTCTAATATCATGTAAAAGATACTGCTTACACGTCAGGGCCATTGTTTGGGAACATTTGGGTTTGGCCTAAGGAGAGATACATGACTACCTCGCCACAAATTGACACCTTGAAAGAGGATGACCATTCCATTAGTTTCATGGATTTTAACATATTCAAGTCACTTATCATTCTCTTAATTTTTCTATGTGGGACTCTTTTTCTTCACCCTCAAAAGGGAGCAACTTACTTGAACAGCAAAGAACTGCATTTCAGCTTTGAATTGATTAAATTGATCAGAATTACAGCAACAGCTTAGTTTCCAATAGGCACATATATCTCGACAACAAAAAAGAAAAGAAAAAAAGTAAAAAGAGGAAAGAAGAAGAAGGAAATATGAGATAAAGCTTTTTTCCCTAGACATAACTTGTACTTTAAGAGCACCAATTCCAGCAGCAAAAAAATGAAGGAATGCGGCCAGTTCTTCGAATGTACTCTGCTTGCTGCTCTGTTTTTGCTGCTTGCCTGCTTCTCTTGGCTTCTGCTGCTGCTCGTTTCTCTTCAGCCCTGTGTCTTGCAGCAGCAAGTTTGTTCATGAGCTTATCATGTGCCTGCCCCCTCATCCTTTCAACATCTACCTGAAAAGCCACAGTCCATCCATATACTTCTATGAGTTTGTACCCACTCAAAGAAGAGGCATGTAACTAGTCTTCTTGAAGAATATTTCTAGTAAGATAAGCAGCCACTTATTGCCCACAAGAATTGCAATGAAGTGCTAACATGATTAGTGATGGTTAAATCATGAGCTATTACAAAAGTTGTCTTATATACTGTCTGAGCATTATTGGCAACTGTGCTAAACTTAAACCAAATAAAAAGGCAATATCATGATAAATTTCTTTCCACCAATTACAATATAAAAAGTTTTTTTTTTTTTTTTTTTGCCCTTTTCATGGGAACTTTCTTTTATAGCCACTAAAGTCAGGCACATTGACTCAATTCAACAAAGTCTTAATTTCAAATTACTTTCTGATCAACATGAATCCATTTCCTCCATTATAATCAAAGAGCAAAGTTGTACACATTTTCTAGCAAACCAACTAGAAGAAGCTATATAATCTAACAAGATCTAAAATGGCAAGAATACAAAACAACTGGCAGAAGCTGTGAAATACCTCAATTTTCCTCATCTCAGCTTCTGTTTTTGCTTTTTGGTGATTCTCCCATGCTTGAATTTTCATCTCTTCACGTTTGAACCTGGATAATAGATCATAACTCTGCACTTGAGCTGGTATTCAGAGTAATAACCAGAACTGATTCATTCATAAGAATTATGCAGATTCATCTTGCAGGTTTATTACTACCCTGACAATTAATTGTCAAATTCCCCCTTCTTCTTTAGGCCAGCCAAACAAATTAAGTGTCATATTCCAAAAGGCAAAGGATCTTTATAAATTCCATTCTATGCACCAGGTGAAAAGGCTAAATTATCAATTCAATTACAAAAAGGGTGGTCCTTGGTAGGACCATTTCCAGTTTCTAGTATTTGGGTTTATTTTGAAGCCTTTTTATGTAATTGTATGATTTATGATTAATTAAATAATTCAGTTTATTTTGAGTACTAGTTTCCTGTTTCTACTAATTAGGGTTTAAGGCATATATATCCCTACTATTATGTTCTTCATGCTATAAATATCAAGTCATGTTAATATTTGGAATTATTGATTTTCTTTCCTATATGTTCCTAATAGCCCTATTCCTTTCTCACCCTGTTCTTTAGACCATATCATGTTCGTTAAAGTGCAAAAAAATAAAAACTATGAAAAGAAATGTCTCTAAAGTTGCCTTTAAGAGAAATTACCTTGCCATATATTTGGCTTTCTCTGCTTCTTCCCAAGCCACAGCACGAGTTTCAATGACAGTTTTAGTTGGTTGTTCAGCTCCTACAGTTTTCAGTGAAGTAGAAGCATCCTTATCCTCATCCTCTTTGCTAGCCCAGGCAGCAATGTTTGTCTTACCAAGCTTGGTACCAAGAGCCATAATTTCTCTCCTTGTCTTCATTTGCAGCTGCTTTTCAGACAATTCCTTGTTCACATCACTGCACTCATCAGGTACATTTGATAGAGCTGAAGCAGGTGTGTCTCTTCTAGGAGTTGATGGCCTAGATGAATTTGGGCTGCGAATTGGTGTTGTTGATCGCACTGGAGTCCCTGTCCTCGAGGGTTCTTGGCTAGCAATAGGAGTCATTTCTGTCCCCATATCTCTCATTGATACTGATCTAGCTGTTGAAGGAGGTGGAATAAATGCAGTTGCACTCTGTATAGCCTTTGATGAATCATGCTGACTAAGACTAACTGCAAGGAAAAAAAAATCAATGGACAGCATTACTTGTTACACTTACTATTGCCTAATACATGCAGAATGTTGTGATTTTAAAACATCTATAGTAAGGAGTAGCATTTATGTCCTAAGCAACTCAGCCAGACAGCACAATGAGCAAATACAAGAGTTGATACTTCGATTACAGTTACAATGCAAAAGAGAATGAAGCACCAAGACAAATAAAACTGAAAGCAAAAACTTACTAGCTAACTGTGCAACATCTAACTCATCAGCACATGCTTACCATATGAATCTGCAATAGGATATGGAACAGCCTCCCAACTGACAAGCTTTTGCATTGGGCTATCTTTCTTAGTTTGACTTATATCAATGCGCTTTGTATCTGGTTCATCAGAAGCAACCACTCTACGATCTGAAACTTCAACAACAACCTTAGTCGATGACTGTTGGAAATAACCAAAGTTTCCAACCTTTCTTAATCCAAGCCCCAGTCCACCTTGTGGTTGTGCCTGCCCCATCTTTGGCCTGGTTGCAGTAGGGCTTGCTATCCACTTTTGGGCATCATCCCATTTGGATGGTGCTGGTTTGGAGAATGGAGCAAGAGGAACTCTTTGAGGAGCCCGTTCAGCCTTCTGAAACTCAAATATTGATGAGTTCATAGCCATGCTATCCAGCCCACATTCATAATCTAAAGGTAGATCTTCATGGGACCTATTTCTGGCATTTATCAAAGCATGATCCTTCAACTGACGTTCACTAATCATCTGCATAGCAATTGAATCAACAGTGGACGGAGTGGAGCATCCAGGAAGGACGCTCACCACATTTACATCTCTGATAGAATCAGAATTGCTACCACCTGCAAAACATTCTAAGTAGAAAGATTCCTACAAATCTCCAAACAAAATAACTGCATTCCAGAATTTAATGAAATCATACCATTAATATCCCCTGCCCCATTATTTCCTATCATTATGAGAATCTAATGAAATCACACCATTAATTCACCCCACCACCTACCCCAACTCCAAAAATCAAAGAGAAGATAATAAAAAAAAAAAAAAAA